TTGAAGGCCAAATTTTACTACGGGATAGGTCTAGTGACATATATAATAAATATTTGAAGATTTTATAGCCTTTAAAAATAGATTCAGTTTCTGGGGTTAGAAGTCTCAGATTGAGCTCGAATTTGTAGGGCAGACCCTAGGGACATGTCTAATTAATATGTAATTGATAGATCATGATTAGGGGATTATTTGGTTAGGGTTTGAAGTATTTAAAAAATCATTAGAAAAGGCTTTCAGGACCTAAACCTTTGGACTTGAATTTTGATCAGAATTTGGAATTTAATTGCTTGAATTTGAATTATCCACATCACTCATAATCAATTGGATGATTATAAATTATGGATAAGATTATAGCTTGATAGGATGTTGAAGTGACTATGTCTTGATTGATTGAAGGTAAGGATTAATTTGAAGCTTGAATATGTTTGAAATCTAGATGAATTTGAGATCTTGATTGACTTAAAGTTAAGGGTTTGATTTGAATCTTGAATAGATTTGATATATGTATTAACTTGGGCCTAGATTGATCTAAGATCTGGATTGATTTTAGGGACTAGGTAGATCTAAGGTCTGGATTGATCTAAGGTCTAGGTAGATCCTAGGGTCTGGATAGATCTACGGTCTAGATTGATCTATAATCTAGGTAGATCCTAAGGTCTGGATAGATCTTATGGTTTAAATGGATCTGGATCTAGATTGATCATAATGATCTCATACAAAAATGAGTTCAACAGCCTTAAGCCCATATTTTTTTGCTTTAGTCTTAGATATTTGCAATAGAATGCTCCCTAGTGTATGTTTTTTGCTGATGATATTCTTCTTGTTGATAAGTCTAAAGAGGGAGTTGAAAGTAAACATGAATTATAGAGGTCAACTTTAGAGTATAAATGTTTTCATTTGAGTAGATCTAAAACCGAATATATGGAGTGTAATTTTAGTAGTAATATATCTAGTTGGGGGTTTGTAACTTTGAGTGATCAAGTCATTAATAAGAGTATACGTTTTAGATATCTCAGGTCTATTGTTCAGAGTGATGGTGAAATAGACAGGGATATTATTAGTATAATTCAAGTTGGATGGATGAAGTGGATGAATGCATCAGGCTTGTTGTATGATAGAAAAATACCACTCAAACTTAAGAAAAAATCCTATAAGATGGTGGTTAGCCCTGCAATGTTTTATGGCGCAGAATGTTTGCCATTAAAAGAGAAGCTTAATATTATTTTTAAGTGTTGCCAAGATGAGGATGCTCATGTCGATGAGTGGCTATACTCTTAGAGACATGATACGAAATGAGTAAATACATGAAAGGTTGGAGTAGCTGCAATGTCATATAAGATTAGTGAGTCGCCTTAGATGGTTTGGTCACATAAAACAGCGACCTTTCGATGACCCAATTAAGAGAGTAGATGTATTAGATTTGACCTATCTTAAGAATGTAGAGGTAATCCTAAAAAGAATTGGTTAGAAAATATTAGAAATGATCTTTCTTTGTTAGATCTAAATGAGAATTTGATTCTTAATAGGACACAATAAAGAAAAAGAATTCTTATAGTTGGGATAAATTATTGATGATGATGATTGTGTTGTAGTTATTAATTTTATTTTACTCTTTAATAGCATATCTGAATTAAATTTGGTTGCTAAGATGATCTCTCTCTCTCTCTCTCTCTCTCTCTCTCATTGTACGCAACCTCAACTTTTAGAACATGATAATTAAAAAAATTGCAATTTTAATTATAATGATCAATGATGTTTATATTCATTTTTTATGATAATTTATGAAAATTATTAGATACAAAGATATTTAGGTTTTGTTTGAGACAATTTTTTTGCTGCTTTCTAAAACAACTTTTAAGTATACAAAATTTTGAATTATAAAATTTTTAACAAAAAAATTACTTTAAAAAATAATAAAAAAAACTATCCTACATGAAGTCTTAGTTGTGAACTAATTTAAACTAACTGTTACATTTGATTAAAATCAAATTTAATAATTATTTAAAAATATTATGAAATTACTAGATGGGCAAGAGCGTGGGGGGGGGTTGAATTGTGA